ATGTCAGACGAAGCTTCAGAATGCTTGACTCCAAGAAGTAGCCTGATTTTACTCTCTCCAGGACACACTGTTTGTTCTCCTAGCAGTCCATGGTATGTTCATGTATAGGAGGATTAAACATTGTGAAAATGATAATCCTACCAAAAGCAATTTACTTGTTCAACACAATCCCAATCTAGATACCAAATTCATTTTTAAAGTAGATCAAAAGGGAAATTGTCAAGTTTATTAAGAGATACAAGAGACCCTGAATAAGCAAACCACTTCTGAAAAACAAAAATAATGTGGGAGACATACCACTCCCTGACTTCAATCCTACTACACAACAGTAGTAACCAAAACAGCATGGTACTAGTACAATGACAGGCACATAGACCAATGGAACAGAATTGAGAACCAAGAAATGGACCCAGCTATCTATGGTCAACTGATATTTAATAAAGAAATAAAACCTATGAAATGGTGAAATGACAATCTCTTTACAAACGGTGTGGGCAAAACTGAACTGCTGTCTTCAGAAAGCTGAAAGAGGATCCACATCTCACATCATACACAAAAATCAACTCAAGGTGGTCAGAGACCTGGCAGTAAAAATAAAAACCATAAAGTTCATAAGAGACACACTGTGATCAAGCTTAGATGCCCTAATTTAGGTTACAAAAAGACTGCCAAATACAGCCAGAAACACACAATCTGGAGAGGATAAAATTTATGAATGGGACCTGTGTGCATAATTTTTTTCCCCAAAAGGGTGAAAAAAAACCCCAACAAATATTCCAAACTACTTACTAGGGAAAAAAGCATTTGGCAGCACCATTTCAGACAAGGGTCTCATATCAAAAGTTTACAGAACACTCTTGGGCCTCCACAAGAAAAAGACTGATAACCCAATTACAAAATGGGCAAAAGACATGGAAAGACTTTTCACAGAGGAAGGTATTCAGATAGTTAAGAGAAACATGAAGAAATGTTCCAAATCACTGGCAATAAGATAGATAGAAATCAAAACCACAGTGAGATACCATCTCACTGTAGTAGCAGTGGCAAAGTTTGACAAGACAGCTTGTTATAAATAAATGGTGGTAAGATAGGAACTCTTATACATTGGTGGTGGTGGTGTAAAATGGTACAAGCACTCTGGAAAATAGTTTGGCATTTTTTCAGCAAGCTGAACATAGAAATTCCATGTGACCCAGCTATTCCACTCCTTGGAATATACCCTGAGAAAGTGAGAACTGAGAAACAAATAGAGACTTATACACCAATGCTCATAGTAGTATTATTCACCATTGCAAGAACATGGAAACAGTCCAAATGTCCAACCACCATCAAATGAATTTAGAAATTATGGTACAGTCACATGATGGAATACTATGCAGCATGCAGGAGGAATGATTTTATAAATCACTGCCTAACATTATCCTAAGTGATCTAACTCAGTCCCATAAGGACAAACACTGTATAAGACCATTATTTTAGAATGAGTATGAATATCCAAGGGGAGAGGGGAAGTAGAGAGGTGAAGATGGGAGGGGGTGAAGTGGTGATAGTGGTTAACCATAGGATCATACAATTTTATGGGTGGGTAAAGGATATGAGAAAGATCTGGTATGAAAAAACATGTATGTGAACTTTATAAGTAAACAGTATAAATAATAAAAATTTTATTTAAAAAACAGTTTTGGAATAATTACTAGAAGAAAACTTTCAGGCATAATGAAGAGTGAGAGACTAATAATTCTAGAAGATGAACAAACACCACACAGAAATGACCCCAAAAGAAAAACACCAAATCATATCATAGTCAAATTTATCAGAACCGAAGATAAGGAGATATTTCTGAAAACAGCTAGGAAGAAACAAAAAGTAACCTATAAGGGAGAGCAGATAAGATTGTCATTGTCTCAACAGAAATCATGCAAGCAAGGAGACAGTGGAAGGACACATATCAAACACTCAAAGAACACAACTGTCAACCAAGAATATTGTTGTAATGTGCTGTCAAGTCACTTGTAACTCATAGCTACCCTATGTACAACAGCCCTAAACCCTGCTCTATCCCTTGTCAATCACATTGTCTCTGACACACCTATCCACATTACCCCAGTGATGGAATCAATCCATCTCATCGAGGATCTTCCCCTCCTGTGCCATACCTCCACCCTCCCAAGCATAATGGCCCTCTACAAGGACTGGTCCCTCCTTGCAACATGTCCAAAGTATGTCAGACAAAGCCTCAGAATCCTTGCCTCCAAGAAGCAGCCTGACCTCACCCTCTCCAGGATGAACTTGTTTGTTCTTCTAAAAGTCCATGTTATACTCAATTCTCTTCTCCAGAACCAAAGCTCAAAGGCATCAACTCTCCTTCTACCCTCCTTACTAATTGTCCAACTCTCTGGAGCATAACAAGTAACGGCAAAGACCATGGCCAGAATTAGGTGTACTTTAGTCTCCAGACTGGCATCGTTATTCCTCGGTACCTTGAAGAGGTCTATGACAGCAGACATTCCCAATGCAATTCCTCTTTTAATGTCCTGGCTACTGGTACCAAGAATGTTGATTGTATATCCAAGCACACTAAAGCTGTGAACATTCTCAATCTCTTCGCCATCTATCATGATGCTGCCAATTGGCTCAGTGGTGTGAATCTTTGCTTTCTTGACATTGAACTTCAATCTATATTGAAGGCTGCAGTCCTTGACCTTCTGCAGGAAGTGCTTCAGGTCCTCCTTAGTTTTAGCAAGCAGGTTATGTCATCTGCATAACACAGATTGTTGAAAAGTCTACCTCCAATCCTGATTCCACACATCTCCTCATGGAATGAGCTTCCTGGATAATATGTTCTGCATATATATTAAAAAGATATGGAGATAGGACACATCCTTGATGCACACCCCCAATCTTGAACCATGCGGTGTTTCCTTGCTCTGTTCTGATGACTGCCTACAGGTCCAAGCAGAGGTTTCGAAATAAGCATAATCGAGTGTTCTGGGATTCCCATTCCTCTAAAAGTCAGCCACAGTTTGTTGTGATCCACACAGTCAAATGATTTCGCATAGTCAACAAAGCACAGATAGACATTCCTCTGGTACTTTTTGCTTTCAGCCAAGATCCCTCTGACATTAGCTATAATATCTCTGGTGCCATGGCCTCGTCTAAATCTGGCCTGCACTTCAGACAGTTATCTGTTCCATCAAATATGAAGGACATATCAAGATATTCCCAGAAAAATAGAACTTAAGGGAGTTTGTAAAGACTAGACAAACATTGCAGAAAACAAACGCTGAGAGACATTTTTCTTTACAGAGATGCCACAGAAAGCAGGATGGACGAAAGTAACTAGCAACATCATCAAAAATAACTCAACAAAATGATAGCAATAAGGCCTTGCCTCTCAATAATCACACTGAATGTGAATGGTTTGGATATACCACTACAGAGAAGAAGAGTAGAAGATTGAATAAAAAATGAAAACCCATCAATATGCTGTCTACAAGAGAAACCTGAAAAATGAAGATTAAAAAAGCGTAAAAATAAAAAGGTGAGAAAAAATATACTAAGCAAACGGCAACCAGAAAAAAGCAGGAGCAGCAATATTAATCTCTGAGAAAATAAATTTCAATGCAAAGGCCATCACAGAGGACAAGAAAGGTCACAACAAAATGACTACAGCGTCAATAGAATAAGAGGACATAATAATAATAAATATGTACGCACCAAATTAAAGACCTTCAAAATATATAAAACAAACATTAACAAAATTGAAAAAGGAAATAGACAACAGTGTTATAGTAATTGGAGACTTCAATACTCCACTCTCAAGAAAACATAGAACAACCAGAAGGAAACTTCACAAAGATGCTGAAGATAAATAAACCACACAATAAACCAACTTGACCTCATAGATATTTTTAGTCTAATGCAATGCAAAAAAGCACAATACACCTTGTTCTTGAACATGCATGAAACGTTCTCCAGAAAAGATCACATTTTAGGTCACAAAGCAAGCATCAATAAATTTAATAAAACATAGAAATAATACAAAACATCTTTACAGACCACAATGCTACAAAAGTAGAAATTAATAAATAGAGTATAAAGGAGGGAAAAAATCACACATTTGGAAGCTGAACAACAACTTGCTTGAACATGACTGATTACTAGAAAAATAAAATATGAAATTAAAGAGTTCCTTGAATCAAAAGACAAAGAAAACACAACTTTTCAAAACCTCTGGGAAACAGCCAAGCAGTAATCAGAAGTCAATTTATCACAATAAGCAAGCACATCAAGAGGCAGGTAAAAATAACCATTGACTCTCTAACCTAATGTCTCCAACAAATTGAAAAAGAACAGCAAGAAAACCCAACACCTGCTAATAAAAAATGGACTTATAAAAATTAGGGCAGAAATAAATGAAATAGAAAACAGGGGAAAAAAATGAAGCCATCAGCAAAACTAGGAGTTGGTTCTTTGAGAAGGTCAATAAAATTAAAACAACCACTAGCAAAACTAACAAAGGAAAAGATACAAATAATCCAATTAAAAGAAGAAATGGGCAATATCGTAATGGAACCAACCAAAATTGGCAAAGAGGAGGTAACATTATATGTTGATGATATGATAATATACTTAGAAAACCCTGTACATAGTTGACCAATTCAGCAAAGTGGCAGGATACATGATCAACATATAAAAATCAACTGGATTTCTCTACAGTGACAAAGAGAATACAGAGCTGGAGCTAAGAAAAACAATGCCTTTCACAATATCTAATCACAGGATTAAATACTTGGCAATAAATGTAACCAGAAGCACAATTATCAGAAAAAAATTACAAAACATTACTACAAGAAACAGAAAGAGACCTGAATAACTGGAAGAATATCCCTTCCTCCTGAATAGGAAGACTCAATATTGTGAAAAGGACAATAATATCAAAGGCAATTTATATATTCAGTGCAATCCCAACAGGAACACCAATTCCATTCTCCAACGAGATGGAAGGCAATTTTGAATTACATTTGGAACGGAAAGAAAGTCTGAATAAGCAAACACTTAAAAAGAGAAATAAGGTAGGAGGCATGTCACTCCCTGATTTTAAATCCCATTACACTGCCGTAGTGGTCAAGACAGTGTGGTACTAGCACAGACACATAGATCAATGGAATAGAACTGAGAATCTGGAAATCAGCCCATCTATCTATAGTCAATTGATTTTTGACAAGGAGATTAAATCAATTAAGTAGGGAAACTAAAGCCTTTTCAACAATTGGTGTTGTCAAAGTTGTAAAACTATCTGTAGAAAACTCAAGCAAGATCCTTTTCCTCACTCCGTGCACAAAGACTAACTCAAAGTGGGTCAAGGACCTAGTACTAAAACCAAGAACTATACATTTCATTAGAGAAAAGCTTGGAAGAACTCTAGAAGCCCTGATCAACAGCATAAGCAGTCTTCCAAGCATCCTAAAAACTCTACAACTAGGAGAGGATAAAATAGATGGAGGGGACCTTCTAAGAATCAAATCCCTATGCAAATCCAAAAGCTTCTCCAACAGGGTAAAAAGGGAACCCACAGACTGGGAAAAAGTATTTGGTAATTACATGTCTAATAAGAGACTTGTATTTAGAATTTATAAAATACTTGAGCACGACAACAAGATCAAGATAAACAACCCATTTAGAAAATGGGCACAGAATATTAATAGACACTTCACCAAAGAAGACATTCAGATGGTGAACAAACACATGAAGAAATGTTCAAAATCCCTAGGTCTAAGAGAGTTGCAAATCAAAACAACTATTAGATAATATATCACCCCCAGTAAGAATAGCAAAATTTAACAGAACAGCTAACAACAAATGCTGGTGAGGTTGTGGAAACACTGGAACACTTATTCACTGTTGGTGGGAGTCTAAAATGGTACAACCAGTATGGAAGGCAGTATGGCACTTTCTCAAAAAGTTTGAAATGGAAATACTATTTGACCTAGCAATTCCACTACTGAGAATATACCCTAAAAAAACCAGAACTGCCACAAAAGCAGATATATGCATACACACGTTAATTGCTTCTTTGTTCACAATACCAGAGTTGGAAACAACCCAAGTGCCCATCAACAACTGAATTGAAAGAGAAGCTGTGGTATATTCACACAATGGAATACTATACTGCAATGAAAAACAAGGAACTCATGAAATATGACCCTGGAGGACATTATGTTGAATGAATTATCTCAGTCACAAAAGGACAAATACTGCATAGTGCCTTTACTATAAAGTGGGACTGACATCATAGTCGGTTGGAATCTAAGAGGGGATAAATAATGTATCCTGCATTTAAACAGATGAGGGATAGAATTGTTTAGGGGGAAATTATGATTAGGTATTATTGTCATGACAAGAGTACCGAATGAAAGTTGCAAAATGGAGTGGACTGGGAGGGTGGAAAGATTGCATAACAAATAAATAAATATTTTCAACTTTTCAAAGAGAAAAGTGAACTGAGGGGAGTGTACAGCATGAATGAATGAATGAATGGAAATCCAAAGTCTCTGTAAACTTTCATTAAAATAAATTTTAAAAAAGAAAAACAAGAATGTAAATAATCATTTCAAAAGACAGAGGAAGAAGAAAAGACCAAAATGAGACTCTGATACTTGCACTTGAACGTAGAGCAGACAAAACAAAGGGAAGAAGTGCTGAAGTAGGAGAGTAGAACAGAAGATTTCAAAGGTCACCTTGAGAAGACAAGACAGAGTGTTATAACAAAATGTGCAAAACACTAGAATTAGAAGACCCAAAGGGAGGAAAACAAACATCATTTCTCAAGTTGAAAGAATGAAAGGAAAACGTTTCAAACCTCAAGGTGCAATACTGAATGATTCCAAGGGCAAAATATTGAATGATTCAAGAAGCATAAAAAGAAGATGGAAAAAATACACAGTCACTATACGAAAAAGAATTAGTTGCATAGAACCACTTCAGAAACTAAGAAGGGGAAAAGATCCCATGTTCAAGAACAAATGGTAAATAATAAAGAAGTTCAAGCTGTATTGAAGGTATTTTCAAGGAGTAACATACCAGAAAAGATTTATAACTTTCTCAGCATTTCTTAAGCTCAAGGAACTGAAGAACAAATTCAAACCTCGAATTGCTATAATCAAGGATGCTTTAGGAAGAATATTAAATGATCCAGAAAGTATTAAAAGAAGATGGAAATAATAGACTGAGTCACCGTATCGAAAGGAACTGGCAGACACAGAAGAATTTCATGAAACAACATATGAGCAAGAGCCTACAGTAATAAAGGAAGAGGTTCGAGCTGCTTTGAAGGAAATAGCAACAAATAAGGTCCCAGGAATAGACGGTATACCAATTGACATATTTCAGCTAACAGATGCTGCCCTGGATGTGCTCACCAAGTTGTGCCAAGAAATCTGGAGAACAACCACTTGGCCAACTGACTGGAAGAAATCTATATTTGTTCCCATTCCAAAGAAAGGTGACCCAACAGAGTGCGGAAACTAGAACAATCTCATTAATTTTACATGTGGGCAAGATTCTACTTAAGATTATCCAAAAACAACTGGAACAATACATCAGCAGAGAATTGCCAGAAGTCCAGTCTGGGTTTAGAAGGGGTCGTGGTACTAGGGTTAGCTGATGTTAGATGGATCTTAGCTGAAAGCAGAGAATACCAGAGAAATGTCTATCTGTGTTTCATTGACTATGTAAAGGCATTTGACTGTGTGGGTCATAACAAACTATGGCTGACTCTCAGAAGAATGGGAATCCCAGAACACTGAATCATGCTAATGAGAAACCTATACTTGGACCAAGAGGCAGTCATCAGAACAGAGCAAGGAAACACTGCATGGTTCAAAATTGGGGAGGGCGTGCTCCACGGATGTGTCCTGTCTCCATATGTTTTCAACATGTATACGGAACAGATTATCCGGGAGGCTAGGCTCTATGAGGAGAAATGTAGGAGAGGGACATCATGCTTGGTAGGGTTGAGGGACAGCGCAGGAGGGGAAGGCCCTCTATGAGGTGGATTGACTCAGCGACTGGGGCCACTGGGATGGGTGTATCAGAGACGGTGCGATTGGCACAGGACAGAGCAGAGTTTTGGGCTGTTGTACATAGGGTCGCTATGAGTCGCAAGTGACTCGATGGCACATAACAACAACAACATCCCTTAAAAAAGGTAGTCCAGCAGTGGGCAGAATCTTGCTGAACATGAAAAATGGCTAAAACGTTAGGCATAAAATCATGAATATGTCTGACTTTAAAAGGAGTGTTCTGGAAGATATGAGGAATTAATTTCATAAATAATTGTTTAATGGCAATTTTGACAATTATCACAAACAAAGAATTCAGACTTTCACAAGAAAATATGAAAGGGCATTTAACTGGTTGAGAGAATAGAATGTGAAAAGACCCTGAAATAGATAAAAACTTGATAAACTCCAAAAACTGAAAGATCACCATGGAGGCTGAAGCATGAAACTGGCTAAGTGTACTGATAGAATCCTAAGAGTCAGATTCTCCAAAGCCTAAAACACAGTTTTAATACTGTTGTAAATGAATCCTAGAATAATTGAGTCACTTACGATTTTTACAGAAAAGAATGATTTCATCAAATTCATGTTTATAAATTATTATTTTAGCACACTGTAGTCATTGGAGTAGGACAAGACTATGAATATGCTCATCTACTGTTAGACAAAAAATATAGTAAAAAGTGGGTGAAACTGAATAGAACTACAAAAACTCATCAGGAGGTCTCTATGTGCTCACAGAGTTGTGGGAGAAAAATGTCAAAAACTGCATAGAATTGATTCTTGATTTGGAGACTTAGGGTGATGAGACAACCCAGTTAATTAACTAAATACACATACTCTTCACTTATTGACATTGTTGCATTTCAAAGACCGTGTAATTATCTGAGAATTAGCATTATGCAAAAATGTATGATGACCACATCAGACCACAATGGAAGATAACTACTTCATTGTGTAACTTCTAAATTACATCATTCTATAACTTCCAATGTACATCATGGCATAACTGCCAAACTATATTACTGCAAAATTGTCAAATTACACCATTACATAAATATCAAATTATATGTAATTAATCATAGCTGTCAAATCATCAGAAATCATAGCACAGGTAAGTTAACACTTAACTACGACAGTCAGTGTAACTGTCACCTTGATGTTCACAATTTAAGATAGAATAAACAAAATATACTGATGACAGTTTTCTTCCTATTTTTGTAGAAGCGAAATATTGGCTAACAATACAGTCAAGTAGTGAGGAGTATATGTATTATGTTTAGTACTCCCAAATTCAAGATTGTTGATTAATACTAGATGTTTAAGTTTCAAGCTGTTATTCAAGGTACAATAATTAGTCTTACCTGAAGCAGCACTGAAACAAGAGTCAGGAATAAGAGGAGGAAATGAAATGTATAGCTAATTGTGTGCATTATTTCCTTTTCCATGAAAGTGGAACTGGATTGTACCCACCTGAAAATAAGAAATACTTTGATAAAAAAATTTTTTATCAAAAGAGATGTTTTTGACAGAGCAACGCACACAGAGTAACACGAACAGAACAAGGAGGAAAGCTGGAATTTGAGTAAGAACTATTACTAAAACAATTCATTTTGGAGCCTCAATGGGGAGTAGCAAACCTCAGTGGGGAGTGGCGAGTCAAAGAGGGACCCACCCACCAGGAGCAAGCAGGAGAGCAGGAATTTGAATGAGGTATTGGGTGGGGGGGGGTCTCTGCTGATTGTTGGACCACCTGGGACCCCTTCACGTTAAGCAGGAGGGAGTGAGACAGCTAGAGCTCAAGCAGGGTAGCGACCCAGTTCTCAGGGGGTAAACCAAGTCTTCCTGGTTTTAAGTCAAATCCCCATGCATGCCCACCCACCCCCTGCGTGTGTCTGCATTCACACCCCACCTGTCCCTGAGTGTGTCTGTATGTGTGCTCATCCTATGTGCATCCACAGGTTTGTGGGTGTGTCCAACCCTCTTCTGGAGCAGTGACTTCAGCTCAAAAA